CGGTGAATCGCGGAAGCAATTTGCTATTCTCTCGACCGATTCATTGGAAAATTTCGCGATCCACCGATTTTTGATTTCTTGACCACTTTCTGAAGCTCGTTCAGGTCGTGACCTGCTTTTGAAAACGGTTTTTCGCATTATGTTGAGGCGTATGCATGTAACACACAGCTACAGCTCATTTTCATTGAACGGGCCTCTGAATGCCAAACAAGGGAGTTAGGAAAGCTAACGCGAAACACTTTTTAACATCAGTTTTTGGCAGACTTCCTCATATGGGTTAGTGATGGTCCTGGTGGTGGTAATATGGCATCAATTAAATACTAGCCACGGCCACCATTTTGGGGAATCACGCAAGTGTCAGTGGAAAATGCAGAACTTTTTCCTACGGTGAAGCGAACCATGAACCAATCTTTTTTTAGGAGTTCAGATGCGTTCAGAAGACCGTTCATGGAAAATGGAGCATAGTTTCACGTTCCATGTACGAATCCTTACACAATACGAAGAACCGTTTTGAAAAAGCAGGACACGACCTGAAAAGCCATCCCGGTGAGATCATAGATCGTAAATAAGCCTAAACCCGTTTCAAACCACGCATTCTTGGAGGATCGAGGGATAGACGTGAATGAATAATCTATAGTAGCTACAAGAATCGTAGAATCAAGTATTCGAGAAAAGATTATATGCGAATTGAACCATCTAACCATCTCTTAGAAAATGCTTAATTTAATATCCGAGGCACATTTCCAGGTAATGAACAGCGGACCCTGTGACTGCGCGGGACTAACGCTAGTGAGAAAAAGAAGAAGATTTCCAGATAATGAACACGGATCAAAACTATTTGTATTTCTAATTTTCGCCTTATTCGTGCTTCGAGAAGCCTATTAAAACGCAACCTGACAAATTAATCACATTAATCGCAAACCATATCTGGTTTACACAGGAACCCTTAAATGGGATTGATGAGACTTGTCAAAATCAGGTAAGGATAACATGGCCATATATAACGAGAAAAAGCTTTGACAAAATGGGATAAGCCGAGCCCTACAGTACCATTAAGGCTCTGGTATCCCCATTTTGTCAAGCTTTGTCTCGTTTAATGGCATGTTTCCTTACTGATTTTGACAATCTCATCAATCCTATTTAAGGGGTTCCTGTGTAAACCAGATATGGTTTGCGATTAATGTGATTAATTTGTCAGGTTGCGTTTTAATAGGCTTCTCGAAGCACGAATAAGGCGAAAATTAGAAATACAAATAGTTTTGATCCGGTTGTTCATTATCTGGATCTTCTTCTTTTTTTTACTAGCGTTAGTCCCGCGCAGTCGCAGTGTCCGCTGTTGATTACCTGGGTGCCTCGGATATTAAATTAAGCATTTTCTAAGAGATGGTTAGATGGTTCAATTCGCATATAATCTTTTCTCGAATACTTGATTCTACGATTCTTGTAGCTACTATAGATTATTCATTCACGTCTATCCCTCGATCTCAAGTAATGCCGTGGTTTTGAAACGGTTTAGGCTATTCGATCGTGATGATCTCACCGGGATGTGTTTGCAGGTGGTGTCTGCTTATGCAAAACGGTTTTTCGTATGGTGTAAGGATTCTACATGGATTCGTGAATATTACTTTCTTCCCATGAACGGTTTCTCGAACGATGCTGAATCTAAAAAGATTGGTTCATGGTTCGCTTCTCCGTAGGAAAAAGTTCTGCATTTTCCACTGACGCTTGCGTGATTTTGCATAATGGTGGCCGTGGCTAGTAATTAATTGATGCTACACATGATCATCAATAAACCCATAGAGAAGCCTGCAAGAACTGATGTCAAAAAGTGTTTCGCGTTAGCTTTCCTAACCCCTTGTTTGGCACTCAGAGGCCCGTTCAATGAAAATGAGCTGTAGCTGTGTGTTACATGCATACGCCTCAACATAATGCGAAAAACCGTTTTCAGAAGCAGGTCACGACCTGAAAGAGCTTCAGAAACTGGTCAGGAAATCAAAAATCGGTGGATCGCGTAGTTTTACAATGAATCAGTCGAGAGAATAGCAAATTGTCCGCGGATCATCGATTACGATGGACAAGACAGATAACAAAAGGCCGCGGATTCACTGTTACCGTAATCCGTGTTAGCATTGGTGCGCGCTGCAGCAAGCATTGGCGCGCTTTTTAGGCGACGCAAGGTAGCAGCACGAAGAGTCAAAAGATTGGGAAAGTCACAAAGCGGTGGAATAAAGAGTAGACAAAGGAGCACAAAATAGAGCAGAGAGTAGGCAGTCCTGAGAGAGGATTAAAGAAGAGCGGTTCATACCTAGCAGCCCCACCGGCCCCACAGGCAAGCCAGTCAAGGAAAAACTTGGAAAAGAGCACTCAGATTATTACTTTTCGTAGTTCTCATAATTTGGTTGTTAATTGCGGCCTTAGATCATCATGATTATTGGTTATGCACTCGACGTTGAAACTTAGCGAAAATTACCCATTAGCAAATTTATCCACGACTAGTCCGATCCGCCCAGTGACTGAAAAACGAAGCAATTTTCGGTACTATTCCACTGCCCCAATTCTCAAAAGTTTTTATTTTCGTCGATTTGCTCATAGGAGTAATTCGATGGGAGTAATTCGACGGACTAAGCATTTTGCGAG